AGAGCCATTGGTGGGAAAGGCAGCCTCCACTAAGTAAATGCCCTTTTATTTTTGGCAGCTGGATTCAGTAGTCCTCAGAGGGTACGTTTAGAAATATAATTCCAGAGAAGTGCATATAATTGTATCTTGTCTGCAACTTTTTATTTTAATAAGAGAGAGCATATGGGGAAAAATGTAGGGCATTCTAACCAAAGTTTGAATAAAATGACATTTTAATGTGGAATGTCAGCACTGAAAATTTTTATGAATAATTTGTATGATTATATATCTCCAGAGTAGATTTATAATTGACCACGTCCCCTAATATCCTTCAAGCTTGCAAACTGCTCCCCAGTGAATGGTTGAGCAGGCAGGAGGACTTCTCAAGAAGAGAAAAGGAAATGACCAACCTACAGGGACTTTTTAAGATTTCTGTAGGACCTCAGCCATTTATTAAAATTGCCATGGTCTTATCTCTGCTGGAGTCCCTCACGGTATTGGGAGGCATACAGACTGCCATGGGTCTCCTGGGTCATGTCCCAGGCTAGATCCTCCCTCAAGGTAAGAACTGTGGATTGTATCACAATTCGATAACCACAACTCACTCTCAAGAATGTCAATGCCTTTATACAAAAGAGGAAGCAGACAGATTGGCATCATGAATGCAATGCACAGAGATGGAGCAGGGACCATTCAGCCTAGTGGTTAAAATCACAGTCTCTGAAATATGACTGCTGGGGCTTCAATGCTGGCTCTGCCACTAACTCCACGACCTTGGGAAAATTACTTAACTTTTTTTCTTCAGTTTTCTCATATGTAGAATGAGAATGATAGCTACCCCTGTCACAGGACTGTTTTAAGTATTAAATGGGATAATACAAGTAAAGTGCTTAGAACAACAGTACATGGCATGTTAGAATCCCTCAATGAACTTCTGTACAATCCTGCACCATAGAGTGTGATGATTGGCTAAGGTGCAACAACATAGATCAGTTGACAAACAACTACCTGTGTGTATAACTAATATTTTCCCTTTAACTAGAAACAATTATACGATTTCCAGGATTGGTACTATATTTTGGAGGCCAACAATTACTGTCTTCTCCCTGACAACATATTCAAATGGAACTGCTTTGTAACAAGGTAAGGGAGAAAATCTTTCATGGAGTACACATTACCAGTATATCTTTCATATCTCCACTGCATTTTTAAATATAATTTCAGGTTCAATTTGTCTTTTTTTGTGTTTGTTCACATAATCACATCAATTCACAAAATCAATGACATTCTTCAAATCCTATCTTATGGGAGAAATATAGGAATATAATAATGTACTCTTACCTAGATGCTAATGTAATGCATCCTTTCTTTAAAAAATATATGATTATGCATTTCTAATTCTTACACTGGATAATAATTAAAACCTTGAGCTTCAGAAAAAAACTTATCTATTGAATTATATTAAAACTTAAAATTCTGCTGGTTTGCAAAGAGTTTTTAACATTATATTGTAATCTATATTATTAACTATAAATATTTTTGCCTGACTGTGGAATACAGTTTGTTAAAATAATAGTAATGTCACAGTTGTGCAAAACAACAACAAAAACACCTACATTTTAACAATAAGTTAACTACAAAAATCTATATTGACGAAAAATGACATTTTTGAACATGAATTGGAAGAAAATTCTACCACTATTTGGCTGAGATCACATTGAACAAGTTTCAGCCCATAGCAATTTGACAGCACACTGGGGACTGAACACACAGGAAGTCATACAAGTAATGGCATGAGTAGGAAGTCTTATGGCATTAGCGAGCACCATTTATCATCACATGACTGTGACCCTTTCTGGTGAGAAATGAGGAACTGCTCCTCCAACACCTTCTTCTGGAAACTGGCTCTTTTCCCAGCCCTTTTTAATTCTCTTTAGCTTTTGGCTTAGACATGGAAGAAGTAAAACGCTCTTACCCAGAATTACAATTGATGGCAAAACAAGAGCGAGAACGAAGTTTGGTGGTGTATAAAACCTGTAGTGCTCTCCTTCAAAAGCTCGTTTCCATCCGTAAATTAAAACATGGAAAGTGCTTATGAGCAGAGCGACATAGCCAAGAGTAGACTTCGGATGGAGGGGGAAGAAAAAGAAACAAAGAAACAAATTACTCAAATTCATAAGTGAACCTATTTTATCTTAAATTATTATTGAGCTACTTTTTGGTCTCTACTAAATTAAATAATGTAAGCACTTTCACATATATATATTTACATCCATACTTTTTATTTGACACGATTAAAGCCATATTGCATAGTTTAATATTCTAATTATTTCATTTATTATATGAAGAACTTTCCCCTAATGTCATTGAGAATGAACCATTTAATGCTGTATAATATTCTATTGGATGGATGTGCTATAATTTATTTAACCATTCCTTTCATTGATTATTATTTATTTTGTTTCCAGCTTTCCTCAACTATAAATAATGTCACTCTATGCCCTTTTCTATATTCTGGTTTATTTCCTTAGAACTGATATAGTGGTACTGCTAGTCAAAACATCTGGCTTTACTTTCAGGGTGTTGACAAAAACTGCTAAACTTTTTTATATAGGTTATCCACATTTCTGCCAGTTGTGTATATTAGGAAAATCGAGTATGTTTATATATGTATGCATATGTACATACTAACTGAAGGTAAATATGAAAAACCTTGTATATTAACATGTAATATAAACAACATTTCAAACATGTGGCTTTACTGACCTTATTAAAGGAAATTATTAAGAGCACTGCAGTTAAGTAGCTTACAGGTTAAAATCTAAAGGGTCAGCATTCCTGGTTCCCTAAACTATGATGTTCGATTGTTTACTTTGAGACATACCCTATTACATAAATGTAATATTGCATCTGTAGAATGATGAAACATCTAACTTCACTGGGAAAGGATCAAAACTCTAGCAGAAAATTGTCCTGTCTGCAATTACTCATCTAAATTTATAATGAGAGTTTGCACCCATCTAGCACCTTTTATCTGAGGGCCTTCTATTTCTTTCTCAGTGTGATTAAACTAGCACTTTGCAAAGTATTCATATTTTTTTTCCTTCAAAAGAAGAAAAAAGAATTTAGACCAGGGAAATGCTCTTAATTTGAATGAGATTTTTAGATAATTTAAAAACAAAAAAGCTCAAGTAAATAAGGAACCCTCCCCCCCCAAATTCAGTTTATCACCAAATGATACTTATCGGCATTATAGTGCTGTAAACCATTTGATACAGCCAATACTGATTGGGCCTATGTTTGAGTTATATATTTTTAAATATGCAAATGTAGCCCTGGCTGCATGGCTTGATTGGTTGGAGTACTGTCCCATACACAGAAAGATGGCAGGTCCGATTCCCAGTCAGGACACATACCCAGGTTGCAGGTCCAATCCCTGGTTGGGACACATGAGGGAGGCAACCAATCAATGATTCTCTCTCATATTGATGCTTCTCTCTCCTTCTAAAATCAATAAAAGCATGTCCTCGAGTGAGGATTTAAAAAAATACAACCCCCTTTGTAGACACTCACATAAATATGTATATAACATATACTAAATATACTAACAAGTTCATAAGGCTGGTTGCTTGTCATAATCCATTAACTTAGTTATCTGGTTTGTCACTGCTTTAAAATATTGTTCTAAATATTAGACTGACCTCCTCACTTAACTTCAAATTAATGAGATTTTTCTGGACATAGCAGGATGACTCAAAATATAAAAGAATTCTTCATTTGGCTAGTAATACATCGACTGTTGGCTTCAACTTGTTCTAAGCTCACACATCCCCACGTTCATTTTATTTTTCTTATTAAAATAACCTTTATCCATAGCGTAGCAGGCAAGACTATCAAAGCCAATGCTATCAGGGCTGCAGAACCCTGTACTGGACTTTCACTTACTAAACCAGGATGGTCCTAAGTTAGTCTCCAACCATATGAGGCCACCAAGCTTACATGCAAAAACACAGCTCCCAAAGGCTCTTTACATGAGGAGCATTATTTAAAATTCAACTAACATTTGAATTTATGCAGCCCATTCCCACACCAAACAAAACTCACATACCTGAATAAAACTGAATTCCCTCCAGTTTAAAGCATTGCTCACTGAAGGGATGGAGGTGACTGCCAGGAGGGACAGTAAGCCCAGGCTCATGATGCCAAAGGAGATATACATTTCAATTCTCCAAACTTCTTCCTCGTTCCAAGAGTTTTTAATGTCTGCATGAACCTATCAAGAGAGCAAACATGAGTTTCCCTTACTTGGTAGAGCATTAACTCATTCAGCACAGAGTTCACTGTGGGCATAAGAATCCATCACATATGGACATATTTAAGTTGTTATTAATTCACTTTAACAAACTGTTATAGAGAACCTATTACCGGATGGTATTGTTTCTGGCATGGGAAAGAAGAGAATGGAGAGTTAAACAAAAGGAGGACTAGGATTCTCTCTGTCTTTGCATATGTGTGAGAAGAGTGGATAAACCTGTCTCATGTTTGTAATGCATCACAGTGACAGGGACTCTGGCATCCAAAGACCACGAAAATGCCACGTGGTCTGTCCCAGGTGACACAAAGAAGTACTGGCGGTTAGACTTAGTTTTGAGGGACTTTTACAAGTTGGTTTAAACTTGATTGAATTGTTTGGGTACATTCTGGACTTAGTTCAACTTAGAACCTGGAAAAGGAATTTCTAAACTATTTTCTGTGTTCCTTTCTCACATCAAGAATACTTATATGTTGATTTATCTCTTTCTTCTTATCTTTTTCCACTGAAGCTGAGATTTCCCTGAGGAATCTGGGAAATTTGCATTTACTGAATGCAAATATTTATCCGCTTGAATTGCCTCATTATTTAATATACTTTTCCAGCTGTCCATTTGCCACATTCCTATATAATAACTATATTGATAATGCATATATAATCAAGCAGAGTAAGAGGGATTGGGAGTCCCAGGGTTGAGTTGGAAGTAGTTAGCAGAATTTAAAATGGTGTCCAATGTAGGCCTCACTGAGATCCGAGCAAATGATTTGAAGGAGGAAGCTAGGAGAGCTGATATCAAAACCTCCCTATTCAGTTAAGAGAAGTAGTATTTTTAGGGAAAGTGACTTAAAAACATTCAGATATTAATTTTTTCCAAATTATTTTAGGTTGAAATTGTTGAAACACATGTAAGTACTAGATGCTACATACATGGCCCATGATGCCTTGGCTCCTTATGAAAAGAAAAAGCTTGTACACATTTGTTTTGGTGCGGTGTCCTCGGCTCTCACTGAGAAACGCTACATCAGACAGCTCCCATGGTACATTGTATTTTACATTCGCCGAGTGGGAATGATTGGGGAAATAGCCCATCATTAGGCTCCCTCCATGAAGCTCTCCTGGAGATTTTCTTGAGCTGAGTGCTAGAAAAGCTTCACCCGAGGAACTGGTATCTTTTCTGCTTTTTGATAACAAAAATCTTGTAGGCATATGTCTTCTGATATGGACTTCCTATTCTGTTTTACGTTTTCACCGGTTCTAATTTTATTTTATACATTTACTGAGAATTGCCTTAACATTTTGTGGAACATAGCCAATTACAAAACATTAAAATAATGAACTGCTCAGTACTGAAAGCATTCATTGCAATAATAACATTAAAAATGAAAGAACAGCCCTGGCTTGTGTAGCTCAGTTGGTTGGAGCTTTGTCGAACACACCAAAAGGTTTGATTCACAGTCAGGGCACATACCCAAGTTGCGGGTTCAATTCTGGTTGGGGCATGTGCAGGAAACAGCCAATCTACATTTCTGCTCATGTCAATGTTTCTCTCTCTCTCTCTCTCTCTCTCTCTCTCACACACACACACACACACTTCTTCTCTCTATAATCAATTTTCTGAAAAAAGGAAAAAATCCTAATCCTTTATTTCTCTGCTTTTATTCTGCAAAGAAAGGGATGGTTGCAGCTTTCGCCCTCACTGATTTTGCAGTAGCCATGAAACTCTATGGCTACAGGAAACTCTATGGTTGCAGGAACATTATTTAAAGAACAGTACTTTTCCTGCCCTAAATATACCAAGGTATACAAAGTTGTACCCAATTTTTAATCTTACTGTTTACAAATTATATTAAGCATCACATGAATAACAAACATGCTCCATACCTGCTGATAAGCCATGTTGAGAAACAAGTATCGCTCTGATCTTCTCATTGGTAAGCAGAGGCTATAGGCAACATGGACCGAAGCAAAGAAAAAACTTAGTAATCCAAGCTGTTTTCTACACTGCAACCAGGTCTCCAACCACGGTGGGAACCTCCTGTACTTGGTGCCGTAATGAAGTTGATAAGCAGCTGCCAGGAGACCTGCTAGGTACACCAGGGACAGCAAAGTAATGGCAACTACGGGCAAGGTTTTATTCACAATCTCAATAGGAATCTTGTAAAAGTCACTCTGCTGGTTTCTTGCATAGGGATGTATCACATCTCTGACAAAGGAATAAAGAAAGAAAAATGTGGCCAGGCTTATGGCTACCACGACCGGCCCTCTCCAGAGAGTAAAGAGTTGCAGGGGTAAATTTTCAATCTCCCTGGCTGATGATAACGATCCCACGTCCACGGGAGTAAAATTCAACTGCCGGGCAAGTTCCACAACCTGTTGTCGAGCTTGAATATTGTTACTGCAAATATAAACCTGCAGCAAAAACAAGAGACACAGCATTACTATTGCTGCTTATAAAAATGATGAGCCCACGCTCCACTTAGTCTGTGGAGCATCACTTGTGATGACCAAGTGATGCAAAAGTTAAGGAGATAAAGCATTTATTAATTTATTATTTATTAATAGATGACAGTAGTGTCATTAAGAATGGCCAAGTCCCGTGAGATGACATGAAAAGAAAATGCAGACAAATCTGGCTACAGGGGTGGGCAAACTTTTTGACTCGAGGGCCACAATGGGTTCTTAAACTGGACCGGAGGGCCGGAACAAAAGCATGGATGGAGTGTTTGTGTGAACTAATATAAATTCAAAGTAAACATCATTACATAAAAGGGTAGGGTTTTTTTTTTTTTTTTTTGGTTTTATTCATTTCAAACGGGCCGGATTTGCCCACGCTGGGCTAGAACCTGGGAGCAGGATGACCTCAGGGGAAGGAAGGCAGGAAGAACAAAGGTTCTGGATCACCTGGTTCAAAGGCACTGGTGACTTCAGGCCTCCCCTACAGTGGGTGGAGTTTGAGCTGCTGGTTGTGCCCCGCCCCCTCCAGCTTGCTCTCTCCCCCAGAGAACAGGCTGGGGCTGGCTCGCCAGGCTTTCCTGGATAATATTTAGTTTGGGCGCGATAGTGGATAGTGATTCTGCCTAGTAGGGTGATTACAAGCACTGCCTTTTACAGATAATTCAGCAAGAAAGAAGGTGGGCATGCACTCAGGACTGAATTTGCAACTAACACCTTTAAATTATGTCATGATGCTGTATTATAAAATTTATCTTTTGGCTCAGAAACCAATTTGCCAAGTATCTCTGGAAAAAACATGGGTTATCTCAAGTATATTATTTCATTAGTCAGAATATGATATTCTTTCATCTTTAAATGATGACAATATACTAGGTGGGGAATGGTATAATAAGACTTACTTAATTTAAAAAGCAAATCAACTGCCATTTTCTAACACTAAGGTGTTAACCCTATAGGAACTCTAATGATAAGATGGGTGGGGTTGGGGATGGGCTTTGGACTCCACAACCTCTTAGATATACTACTGAAGATGAGATTTCAACAAATATTTGCTGAGCACCAAGTTCATTGCTAGAGTGAGCCACTATTACTTATGGGTAGGTCATCTCACCGGGGGCTAGAAAAATACTGCTATTCAGTAATGTTTGGGGGAAACAGATTCCTAAATATATTTATCCCTGAAGATGTTTATATAAGGGTTCGAGAACAGACCACACTGAAACACTGGCATGCTAAACCTATTTACATTATGCTGACAATGTAAAGCTCTTTGCATTGTTAATTTTACCTAATATTAGGCAGATGAGTGACAAAGTCTATACTATTATACACCTGCTCATGAACTTTTAAAAAGGAGTGGGGGACAATACCTATATAACTGAGAAATAAGGAAAAGCATTCTAAAAATTAATTTATTACAGTTGTGACAATGGTGAAGTAAACTCTTTTATTTGTTGGAAAAATCCTATAAATTATGAAATTTTATAATAAACCTAAAAGTATAAATCAAACATTCATAACAAGGACACAAGTAGTATGAACTACAAATGAAACTATTTCTGTAGCTCCCTTTGAATTAAATCATTGTTCTACACATTTTGTTGTTGTTAAAGAATTAAAATGATCACAAATATGGGCAAAGGATTAAATTCAGGCTTATCTCTAATTTAGTCTGTATCCATTGCTCAACTTTGGTGGATATGCAAAAGGAAAAAAAAAAAAGGGATTCAGAAATAGCCTCTAGGAAAACTGGAAAATATATATTCTTTTACTAGCCTTCCAAATTAAAGACCCGAAAGTAAACGGCTATTGTGAATGACATGCAGCATGCAGTGATATAATACTTGAATTTATTTTCTGAGACTC